TTCCCTTTCCCACATATCACCTCCGTCCCTCTCTCTCTCTCCCTCTCTCCCTCTCTCTTCCTCTCTCTCACCCGCTCTCCCGCTCTCTTCGACTCTCTATCTCCCACCTTCTCCCCCGTCCTTTCTCTCCCGTGCACCTGCTCAGATCCACAGACTAAAAACGCCTGCTCGGTGTTGACGCAAACGCGTCACGTTGCGCGTCAGCACCTAACGTCTCCAAAACCCTTAGCGGCTCCAGGAAAACGAATAAATTAGTCACTAAACATGAACATAAACGACGGACGCGCTTGAAGCCAACGTCGTTTGTTTAGTTGATTATCCTTTATTTTAGCGGGACAAATGCGTCACACTGTCCTCCTGTGGTCTGTTGGCTGGAGTTTCGATCGATTTAACACCTGTGGGTTGTTCGAAAACCCAGACACTTTATATCACTTTTTTTCTATCCTAACCTATATATATATTATATATTATTATATATATTTCATTATATAAAGGCGCTGTCGTGTCGAAATATAGTCTTTAAATTATATATAACTATTATATTTAGTTAAGGCCGTAATTAACCCAACATTTCAAGTATACGTAGGAGAGTTGTTTTATTTAACATGGTACAGAAACGTTTTATAAAAATAAAAAATGCCACAAATGCCGACGTGAAAATCTCATGTGAAAAGAATGTCCTAAGATACTGGAAACATCGATTATTTGCCCTTTTTTCAACGAAGAAAACTTAAAATCGGGACATTTTAAAAACTTTTCAATATAATGTATACAATACCGTTTAGTTTTGATTTTAACAGAGTGAAACCTTCTGTCTGTTAGGTTTTATGACAAAGAATATTACAAGTACACAATCGTCTGAACGGAGGCATTGAAAGTACTAGATACATGTTCTTCATAATAAAGACGAATATTACACATTGGACCACCACCCCGTCCCGGGCCCCGCCCCCAAACAAACACAAACAAAACAACTACAACCTAAGAATAGAGCCGTTGTTTTCCATGAGTCCCGGACAGAGCACCGCCCTTTCTCCTGCGTGGTCTAAGAACAGGAAGCTTTACTCGTGTTTTTGTTTATTTCTGTGCTCTGAAATAAATTGCTCAGCCATAAATAAACCCACCACCCACCAAGCCCCGGCTCATATCTAGGTGTTAATGTCATTAACTACAGTCCGCAGCATCGTCTTCTTCTTCGTGCGCGTGACCTGATGCTGCCTTTGTCTTGACGCTGACAGTTTCCGCACCAGAGACCTATTCACTGTTGATGGACTCATTCATTTACTCAGAGTCGACACAGATCAAAGCTGGCCGCTGATTAGAGCGGTGCGGACAGAGACGCGATTGGTGAAGACAGAAGCACTTCAAATCCACTGTACAACTTCAAACGGAATTTCTTTTCACGCACATCATCAACCCGATGGCCACGTGAATGTTTTCATTAAGGCATCACAGCCAATCACAGAACCGCGTCACCCAGTTTTTTTTCTTTTTCTTTCCGAAAAACATTAAAGCCCCGCGGCACATTGTCTACCCCCCACTGCCCACCCCCCACTCCAAAACATCATTTAAATGAGTTTAGAGTAAAACAGAAACTGTCTCGATGAACTCCATCAAACTCTTCTGTTTCTACTTTTTCTTTCTTTCTTTTTTCTTTGTTTTTTGGATAAAATCATTTTATAATGATTTGAAAATTTTGAATTCTGACATTGGTCAAGTCATCATCCTCAAGCTAACTGTTGATTCTCTCAATTTCTTTTTTCTTTTCATCCCTCGTTGTTGCAGCCCCTCCAACCCCACTCCCAAAAAATCTATATCAATAACTGCAGCTCTTCTGCAGCTCCTGTGTGGTATCCCACAGGGTTTAGTACTTGGTCACCTTTTTCTTTATTCTCTACACCTTTAAACCTAAAGTTTAATTTGCACTAATCTCATATGTTAAACCCTATATCCAAATGTTTATCTTCACAAGAACTTTAACCAACTGATCTGCTGATCTCTAATCTGGTCCATCATGGTCACTCCCAGTGAGAATCATAGCATCTTTATCTCTCACGCCAGTCTATAGACAGAGTCAGGATGTCTAAAACATTTATCATAACAGTTTTCACTACTGCCCCATTAACATTGCACGATTCAGACTAATTCCCCAAAGACTATATTTTTTCGGTTTTTGTTATTTTTGTTTTAATCAGGCTCTATCTTTTCTCTCAGACATCAATTTCCCCAAGCCAGACGATTCGGGACCACCGCTTCCTTCCTCTGAAACTCCCTTTCGCTAAATGGAGAGAGATACTGAGACTGTTTAGATCTTCATTCTAAAACAAAAAAAAACAATTCTCTGCATTGCTTTTAATGTACAACTATGTAAATAACCAGCTTAATGGCCTTATCAAAGCAGCAAAGGAAAAAAAACACACAAACTACCCTTTCAAACTCCTGGGAAATCCTTCCTGTATTTTCAATGGAATGTATGTTTTTTCATAAATATTTGATTTGAGTTCTAGCTCCAGAAATTTGTCTCTCAGACCAGGAGGACAACGTGTGAAGCCAGTGTAAAATATTAATAAAGTCCTTGACAAAAACAAGTTGTTCTGTTTGAGTCAGAAATAACAGTCAACTCAAACCATACAAACAGTTTGCTCACAAAAGTAAAATAAAAAACATAATAGACATAAAAGTAAACATGAAATCCTGCAAAAAAAGAAATTCAACACAGCTGCAGTCTCAGTGTGTCTGTGCATGTTAAGACTTCATAAATAACAAAAAAAAACTCATTTCTCGTTTCATTTTCTGGTTCCAGATTGGTGCTATCAGTCCCAGTTCACCTGTGATCATCAGTGTAACAGTAAGTCTATTTGTGTGTGTGTGTGTGTGTGTGTGTGTCAATAAGGACAGTTAGTTTCCCATAAATATGCCTCGATGTTTTTTTGTCCTAGCTCCTGATAAGTGGAACAAGGCCAACAGCAACTGTGCAGGAAAAAATCAGTCACCAATCAACATTGTCACCAGAAAGACTGTGAAAGATAAGACACTGATTCCCTTCAAGTTCATCAACTACGAGCAGAAGTTCAGGACCAGCATCAAGAACAACGGCCATTCAGGTACCAGCATTCTAGATGGAGTAACCTGTGAGAAGTCACCGATGCCTGCAGTCTGATGTTTGTGGTGTGTGTACGTCCGTCAGTTCAGGTGGTGCTGCCTCACCTCACCACCATCTCAGATGGAGGACTGCCCACCACCTACAAGGCTGTGCAGTTCCACCTTCACTGGGGCAACAATGGAGGGCCCGGCTCTGAACATACCATCGATGGAGAGCAGTATCCGATGGAGGTAATTTAGGCTGTCAAAAAGTGGGTATTTGTCAAAGAAACATTTGATGTAAATGTTTGATGTCGCTACATTTAGTGGCTCAGCATCTGTTTATATATTGTACAAAATATACAACAAGTATAAAAACCAATATAGTGGACTCCACTACCTACATCATTGATAACTTTAAATACATTCGATATTTATTTATTATTATATGTTTTCAGATTTGCAACGTTAGCGTCACAGTATTATTGTCTTTGATGTGCATGAGTATTAAATTATATTGTTTTTTCACACCAGTTTTGGTTGAAAGGCTGTTTTACAATAATGTCAAATAATTCCTAACATGTAACAGTAATACTGCAGAGTGTAGGAATCACAGGACTCCGCTGCTTACTCCTCTTTTTTCCAAACTTCACAGCTAAGGGAAGACATTTTTATTATGAAATGTGATCCAAGACACACAGTGGTTTCATTGTGAAGCATCAAGTTTGATACGTATTGAATCTATATGGGAGCTACAATAAGGGAGCGATGCCCCTACTGGGCATCCTGACTGATGCCCAGTAGGGGCATTTTTATGAAGAATAAATGCTGATAATAATTAAAGCTAATTAATGATACGATTAAAAAATAATATATTTTTTAAACATCTCTAGCTTTTGATGGGTCAGTGTATATGACATTACTCACTTTGATGTTGTTTCATCTGCAGCTGCATATTGTTCACATGAAGCATCATTACACTGATCTGGGAACAGCACTGTCAGACCCAGAGGGAGTTGCTGTGCTTGGATTTTTCTACAAGGTAATAATTGACAGCGCAACATGGCTAAAGTGGAAGTACCAAAAATTCCAAAGGACAAAAAGAAAGAGCACTTGTATATGTATTTTTTCCTCATTATCTTTAGAGGTCTGTTGGCGCAAACCGGAAGTATGAGCCCTTTATCAACGCCCTGGGAAGCATCAGGGCCACAAGTAGGTGGTTAAACCACACTGACTAAAAACACAGCTGTTAAATGTTGACGCTGGTGGTTTGATTGTGGCTTTTCTGATCTTTAGATGCAAATACAAGTATGTCGGGTATATCCCTGACACAGCTTATTCCACCTGAGCAGAATCTGACCAACTACTACCGCTACAAAGGCTCTCTGACCACACCAGGGTGTACCGAGGCTGTGATCTGGACCCTGTTTGAGGACCCTATCCCTCTGAGCATGGAACAGGTATGAGAGAAAAAAAAATTAATGTAACATCTTTCATTGCAGACACTTTAATAATTAAATTGACTTTAATTTAAAATTTACATCGGAGGTCGTTGTTCAGTAGGGACCCATACTGGTCTGTGATGCAAAAAACATTCTTAACTTAGGATATTTACATTTTCTTGATGCAATATTATCACAATTGTAGACTACAAAAATCCAGACCAGTGTAATATCACCTTAGCTTTTATTGCTCTTATTGAGCAGGTCCTCAAGTGACATTTACCAAAACATAGTATAATTATCCAACCACAGCAGGGAGAATCTTAAAAATAACAGGAAGCTTTTTATCCTGAATAAGAAACTAGAGGATTGATATAATACAACCCTGTGACTGTGAGTGAACATTTACAAAATGTCTTTCTTCTGTTCGTCCAGCTGCAACTCTTTTCTAACCTTCAGTTCCATGATCGTAAGCCAATGGTGGGAACTTTCAGGCCAGTGCAGCCTCTCAATGGCCGTCAGGTCTTTCGGTCAGGAAGTGCGGTCATCCTGGCTAGCTCTGCCCTTCTTGTAGCTGCCACGGTAACAGCCTTGGGATTGTTCTAGCCTAACGAGCAACTCTACGACATCCACGAACACACTATGTTCTATGGCACTCTTTGGTTAAACCCCAGTTTATAATTTAGTCCTTGCATGACTGCCAAGAGGAAAAGTCATATTATAGTGCAGGCTTGACATAGTGTGTCTTTTATTTTTTTCTAGCAAAACATATGATATATGCTTTTGTATAATGCCTTATGAAGTGTGCTGTAAGGGTTTATACAGCATTCATGCATGTGTAGTTAAAAATATATAGAATTACATACGTAGTAGCAGCCTAATTTAGCACCAGCCTTTATTTTGTTATCAGAACAATAATATAACACTATCCGCAGACACAATACAACTGCAGCCACCGTTTCCAGAGTCAGGTATATTTAGTTTTTGCTAATGTGTCTAAGCTGCTGATGGTTGTGCCAAAAAATGCTGATGCCAGCCTCATGACCTGGCACATTGCAAAGTGTCCTCATTGGAGCATGGGAACAGCCTGGAGCTATTAATAACAGTAACTGAGTCAAGCTCCATTTCAAAGTGAGTGGTCAAAGGAGTCAATAAGTTGGCCTTTAGCAGTGCATTCAGGTAGAAACGTCACAACAACGTCAGTCAGCAGCTGCTGCAGATAAATCCTGTCCTCTAAATGGTTTCTCCTTCCAATGACACCTTAGCTTCAGAGACGCTAGCGCTGACAGTGACACTGACGCTGACAGGTCAGAAAAGAGGCAGCTCTACTCATGACAACCCACCTCTTCAGCCCCCCATCCAAAAAAAAAACTGTCACCACTAGTTTTCAAACCAATGTCGTCATGTGTCTCAGAGACTTGCATGAACCTGCATGTCTTTATATTCCACGTGTTCATTAATGACAACATTAGCATGTCTGCTGAGGTGTCGTGCACACACACTGGACTGTTGGTCACAACACTTCCCATTGATGACCTGTGAAGTTCAGTCAGCTGAACTGGAGAACCTGCGACTGTGTTCGTGGGTTGTACTACAGGCTTTCAGATGCACTGAATGTTATTGACTGTGAATCACACCGCTCCAAGGTGTCACTCGTTTGTCTGGAAAACTAGCTGTTAGTGACAGTTGTGTGGAATCTTTCAGCCAAGTTCATCATGAAGGACAAGCACGGAAACGGTATCATCGGTATATTTGCAATGTTCATCAGGTTTCAAACTCTACTATTGTACACGTTTTTGTGTGTTGAATGTGTATATTGATACGAGACGCACAGTTATTGTTATTTATGTATTGCAACGATGATAGTACTGAATGCATTTTCAAGGCATCAATGGATGCTCCACTGTATGAGATGCTTTAACATGTCGGAAATATTATGAAGAATGTGTTTTGACTGAACAATAAACTACCTACATGCCTTTTTAATGGCTTCTCCTCAGCATAATGCAAGTCATTAAAACAGTGTTAAGTGTCAGAGTCACTCGTGGCCCTCACTCTCTGTACTCTGAAAATGATATGAAAAAATACAGTGTGTTGGCTGTGCTGTCCGTCTGCTGGCACAGACAGGCAGGCTCTCCTCTCACTTTACTGTCCCGTTCCCCATCAGTCAGTCTGGAGAGTCTGAGAACACTCCTGCTTCTTAAACCTTTAATCCTTTTCTAATTGACTTGTTCTGGTGTTATATAGAAGCTGCTGCAAATCAACAGCATGGAGTCAAATACAACTCCAGGCTGGCAAAAACCAGACACCATCACACTCACCAACCAGTGTCTGTTCAAGCTTATGAGACAATACGTGATGGTCTTCAGTTATCAATAAAATAGGAAATGTGTGTAGTTGGTTTACAGTGTGGCTCTGTATGTATTTTTTAAATCATTTATCTTACATTAAGGTCACATTTGTTTAAAACATCAGTTAAAATTCCTAATATTTTTCCTGCCAAAAAAAGTATTATGTCCACCTAGCCATATACAGTATCTCAAAGAGAAACTGGAGGGTATAAATTACACAAAACAATTCTCAACCAATGAGCCATGAGCCTAATTAAGCCATCCTTAATGAGTTCCTGGTTTCCCAAGTACTGATTCTGCACCAAAAGAGTAATTCCTTCTCTATATGTAAAATATTTATAATAATGTTATTATTTTAACATCCTTGCCTTTTATGGTGGCAGTCTTCCTAGAAGATCGTCTCTTAAATCTACCAACATCTTAGGTTTCGTTTCACACTGAGGAGCAGGTACTTTCTGCAGCTTCACTTAAAGTTTATTACCAGATTTCTACAACTACAGTATAATGGCCCACTTTTATGGACCGTCCTTAACTGCTGCCTGGAAACAGATCAAATGTGTCACTTGAATTGTTGAACTGAACCTGGTCTTTTGAACCCAGTTTTCTCTGTGAAGATGTAACGTGTGTTTTGCTTTCTTAAGGTGTCGTCATGTTAATCGTGCATTGTCTGACGTGAACATGTGGTTAATTCACTTAAAACTGTTCTTTCTTATCTGTGCTGGTTGCCGTGGTTACTGCAGTGCTACAGCGATGTCATTGTCTAAACTGTATATGGCTCATCAGTGGGGTACAGAAAAAATTACTTCACTTGAACTGCAAAATACGTGTGTATTAGAGCCACCTTAAAAATGAAAAGAACAAACACAGTAAAGCTGTTAAAGTCATGAAGTTACAGAAAAAAAGATGATGAGAATAAAGTCATAAATTTAGATGACGTGTTATGGGGGAGATGGGTGACTTTAGTGTTGGGTTGACAAATAAGAAGATCAGCATCACGACCACACTCTCCTGGTTTGGTCCTCGTCTTTCATGTCCAGGGCACCTGTTGTCCTTCTTCATGTTATTCTACATGCTTCAGCCCCCTTCACCCTGTCATTAAGAATCAAAAGGCTTTTTGTGATGGACAGGCTTGAGATGACAGAGACTGTGGACAAAACCAGGAATGAAAGCCCTCCTTTTATTCCCCTGCTTCTGTTTCTTCTTCACTGAACCATTGGGGGTGGGATGGGGGAGGGGGTGGGGTGGTAGATCAAGGGGTGGATGTCTAATATCTTGCCCTGTTACCTCAGTCTTCAGACAGCAGCACCCATACAACCTCACTCTGATGTCTCATGGGTTTTTAGGACAAAGGGCATCATTCTCCCTTGGAGAAACCAGAAGCATCCTCACGGTGAGGGTGCCCCTCCCTGGAACACACACACAGCAGCCTATCAGATTGCCAGCTGCACTTAAAGGTCAGTGGGACACTTTTTGTCCCCAAAACACAAATGGCGTTACCGGTACCGCTTGTGATGTCCAAACTTACGTAAATCGAACACAGATTTTGTATTGATGCTGCATTTACTGCGTCTGTACACCAGGCTGTCACCAACTGATATCTGTGACTCAATCTGTTTTCACTAACTAATCACTGGACATGCTAACCTGAGTGATGTGACTTGTCAGTCAGTGGTGGTAGTAACAGGGAATTACCACCCACCCATTTCCTTCAGTTAAAAAACCCAACAATAATTACTTCTTGTTTGTTCCTCAGATGAGATTCTCAGTGATGCCAGTGAACGTGTCACTGGACTCGTGCTCAGTATCTAGTCCCACTACACAGCCCAGACCAGCTCCAACTCCCCAGTATTCTCCCACACTTGATGTTTGGACAGCAGCCAGCAGAGAAGGACTATCGCTAAGGTAATTGTCAGTACAAAACAATAACTTTAAAGCCACTCTTTGACAATTATTAAACCGACACAAACACTTCCTGGTGGTAGTTACAGTAATCTGCTCACCTGTGGTTCTTCTTAAAAGTCAGGCTACATCTGTAAATAATTTTGTACAAGAAAAATGTGGTACAAGATTGTGAGGTAATAAGGAAGAAAGTCGTTCCCTCACTAAATTTACTTAGTGACCTCTGAGTACAGCACTAAATCTTAAAAATGGTGGGATTTCTCCTTTAATGCTCATGCAAGTACTATTAGTGGGTAATGAATCTTGAAAGTCTGCGTCTGTTGACAGAGTGTGCTGTGATGGATAATGGGAACAATCTCAGTGAGAGTTTTAATCCCCTTTGTTTGTTTTTAGGAAAAGTCATTTCAAGACACAGGGTCATGTGAGGTGTTCAAGGAGCAGCTCTGTGTCTGCATAAAAGGTGAATAGATGCTGAAGCAGCTCACTGATCCCGCTGTCTGACCCATGAAAGAGGAGTCAGGAAAGCGTACACAAGTGGTTCTTTAGCCTCAGAGGCTAAAGTGATAGCTCCATCACCGTAATCCCTTTCGGGGGAGCAGCTCGGGAAAAGTGATCTGGATTAGTCTCTTATACCGTAGACAATAGCTCATGGAGAGGAGAGGGTGCACAGACATCTCCACGGCACCGAGAGAAAAGAAGATGGCTCAGTTCAACTGAGGCATCTTCACTCTCCAGGGACTGAACTGCTCCATGTTCACCGTCTGTTTTAGATGTAAATTTTTACTCCTGTGTCAGGACAGTACGACTGGTCTGACTAAACAGAGCACAGTATCACCATCTACCAAATACTGCAGGGATTGAAATAATAGTGACAATACCTGTCCACCTGGTGGAACAGCGGGTCATGCCCTTGCTGTGCAGCAGAAAGATCAAAGCCTGAATTACAAAGATGGGAAAGTTAGAGTTTTAAGTTTGTTTTATGGAATAAACCTTCAGTCTAGTATTGTGTACTTTACTTTTTGTGAAAAAATCTGATCTAATCCAGGAAATAAGTTGCTTATTGTTTCTTTAATGTCTTCCGTACAGCTGCAGATCATCGCCCCCTGCTGACGTACTCACCCTCCACCTCTCCGTCACCTCTTTGTTTGATCCGTCACACATCATCCGTAAGTTTCCTCCTCAACTAACACCATTATCAGCAAAGCAGTTGTTCACTTTGATAAAAATGTTAAAAGACAATAAGCACATGACGCCATAGTGGAAACTATTTTTCCGACACTAACTCCTAACCAGGAATTGTTAGTTATTAGTCAGTTAGGGTCAGGATTTTATTTTTAAGGAGTCACCACTTCAAACCAAAATGAGCTTTAACTGAGTCAGTAAACACTGTGACAGAGGAAACGGTTGTCATGTGACCTTTTGTTTCACCACAGCAGGATGATAAGATGGAGTGAATGTGGGGTCAATAAAAAAGGCTGCACGTCTAAAGATTTGAAGGTATAAAGAAGTGGAAACATTGTGTAAGAGTTTTCCCAAAGATAAGACTGGTCGACCTGATTCAAGTCCTTTCTATGAACAGATTGTATATTATCAGTCATGTGTGGCATTGTCTCAATAGGAGGCAGTTTATTTAGGTTGGTGAGAGGCTGGTAAATAAGCTTTAGGCGTCAAAGAGACCTTAGTACAGACTCGGAGTCAGATCAACAGGAAGAAAGCCTGGGCTGGGGTCACCGACACCCCTCACTCCAAAGGTACACAAAGAGTCCAAGAAAAACACACTTAACTCTGTCTCTTTTTGACAACATTTTGGCTGCATTGTTCTCAGGGCACAGGCCAGGATGAGGGAGAGTGGTCTTGCAACAGGCGAAGAGCTTTTTGGTTGACCCCGCATAGACAGAAGAATTCGATTTATGGCAGGTTTTCCAGTGAATACTGCTGAGCATCAGTGTTTGTATATCTTAGTTCCCCAATTTAATGTGGTTCAAGTGTTTCACAGTACATTCTAAATTGATAATTGAGTACTTCAAACTACAAAAATACCCCAAATTAAAATAACAGCCATACAGATTGGAGGGAGGAGGAGGCGTGGAAGTGGGGGACCTTCTGCTTCTTCCTGATGCTGATTGGAAGCCTAAATGCTGAGTGCTCGTAAGGAAGGGCATCCTGCATAAAACTTACCAAAACAAACTTGAGGTAATAGCACTGATGAGTATCCAATGTAAAAATACAAAAGTCATTGTTTGAACGACAGAAGTAGAAGGAGGAACAGCCACGATTCAAACAATGTCTAGGAAAGAAGTTAGGCTACAGAGACAGAGAGACACTCACAGTCAGACCTGTGGTTGATTAACAGAGAGTTTCCAGAAAAGAACTGTTCCACTGAATGGCAGAAAAGTATGTGAGAGTGGTGCAAGACATGACCAAGATAGCGTATTTAAGACTGAAAAATGGGTTCAGGGAAGAACTTTTGAACCCTCACCTGCGTGGGCCACGGTGTTTAATTCCACAGGTGACAATGGGGAAAAGATAAAGGAGGGGAGAGGAATGAAGGTCGGTGGGAGCAGACGGTGAACGTGTTTGTGCGTGAGTGAGGCTTATTGAGACATGATGTGGCAAACGTCACAGGAAGTTAATGTGGATAAATTCTGCCACCAGGCTTTTTAAAGTAATAGAAATTGATGACAAGGTTGCAGGAAGAGTGGAGGAGATGAGACTGGTGTCAGTAGAACAGTGATTTGAATAGGACAATGGACAGGAAGTCAAATCTGATAAGATGTTTGGTCTG